CCCCCCACATGGCAAAATAGCCCCTACCCTTAGAATATTAGTTCGTATTCAGTACGTCGTCTTACATATAAGACAACACTTATGTTATTTTAAGTTAGTTCTAGTTTGACTCTACTCTTGACCAGCAACCTATGCTTGAAGCAACTGGAAGCTAGATTAAGAATCACCTACATCTAAGTGTTAAATAAATACATTAAAACGACTTAATTGTTCCAGGAGCAGTGTTAAAAAATACATTAACACTGACTTTAATCTAAAAACCCACTAGGACTCCACATCGACAAAACTACAAATTATTCCACAGTGTCCAGAGATATTCCATCCCGGGACACGACAATGTAATACTTTGAAAAACCCACTAGGACTCCACATCGACAAAACTACAAATTATTCCACAGTGTCCAGAGATATTCCATCCCGGGACACGACATTATCTTTGATAGCTGATCGATCTTTTCACGGTCAAAACTACAAATTATTCCACAGTGTCCAGAGATATTCCATCCCGGGACACGACATTATCTTTGATAGCTGATCGATCTTTTCACGTTGAAAAGATATATAGAGTTGTACTTTCCGGGAACTTTTTTTACGAATATTACGTCTTCTTCGCTAGATCGCACTTTAGTTCCTCCGATGGAAAACCCCTGACCAATGTGCTCGTAATATTTGCTACTCCTTGAATAATATTACAATATTGAAAAACCCTTTTAATTATTTCATATTGTTTGGTAAATCTCAATTTTCTTGTATTATTCTCAATAAATAAATATAAATAAATAATTTCAGATTCAGATAATACTGTATCTACTCTATACATTATTTAAAATTGTGGTCTTAAAATGCTGCTACGGAAAAAGATGGTGCCCGGAGAATACAACACAATACAAAAGGCTGTTATTTGTTCTCTTGGTGCAACTGCAACTCATCAGTCCTTTCGACGCAAAAATAGAGATTATTCGAATTCTCGGCGATCCTTAACAAGTTTATTTATGCTTTCTTGCATATAATAATATTTGTTGTTGCAGCTTGTTGTTGACAACTTCTGTTTTATGTTTTAATATATTATTTATACAACTTAAATATATACAGAAAACTTTATGTGCAGCATGCTCCAGTGTACCTTGTATATATGTATAAAGTATATTACTTGCTTACTTGTTACTGTTCGTCTGCAATCTTCTCAATGTCGAAAATTGATCTAAATATTTAACTTCGTATGTCGAAATTGCTCGAATTTTTTTTAGAAAATTTAATGAA